TAGTTGGTGTAGGCGCTTAATAAGTGCTAATAGTATTCCGTTCACTAGATGTCGCTAGTTGACACTGAAGTGAAGTTTTTTATTACGCAATGTAATTTAATTAAGAACTTAGTTAAGTCTAATTGTTGACACTTTTGAGTGGATTAAGAAATATCAAAAGCACGAATATCATCTAAATAATTTACATTAAAATTTTAAAATTCATCTCCTGTTTTTGCAAAATTTGAATTTTATTATCCAAATTTATATGTATAGGACCATTTTTGTTACCATGCGTGGTTGGAGACTAAGTGCGACATAATCCCCACTGACACCAATGAAATTGTTTTTATCAATTTTTAGTGCCGATTTACCACATCATCAAAAAACATTTTGAGGAAACTATTTCGAAGTCATGTGAATTCCGCCAACTCATAATGAACTTAGCCCTTAATTCCTCAGAAATGAGAGAAGACCAGTGTAAGTGACGTAAGAAACGGTAACTTTACATAACTTTAACTTTAAATTTTTGCTTGAATATTTCTCCATCCCTCAGTCACTAGGACCGCGTTCGGGAATCAGCTGCGTTCATGCGAGGTTGGCTTTTGGAGGAAATGTTGTCATTTTCTCTTCTCCTTCATCATCGGCTTGTAACAGTTCCCCGCAGGGCATAAGCCTCTTTCATTGTTTTTTTTTTAAATAGAATAGGGTGACAAACGAGCACACAGTCCACCTGATGGTAAGTGGTTGCTGCGGCCCATAGACATCTACATCTATCCTCGATTACAAATCAAAACGAAGATGCGTTGTCACCCTTGAGGACTAAGATGGAATGCCTCGTTTCCAGTAAAAAGAGTCTCCGGTTCTCTACACTCACCATACGAAACACAGCAGCATTAAGCTGCTATTTTACGCTGGTATTCTGTGAGAGCGTGGTCCTTCCCCGGTGGAGCCGAACCATTCGTGCTACAACTATGCTATTAGTATAACTGCAGCATGGCTCTACGACCTATACATGTATAAAATAGAATATAGAAGAGAATTTGTCTTTATCACCACGCTTGGCTTGTGGATTTACGACCGCAGTATCAGACGTGAGCACATTTTAATGCTGCTTTCCGTCGCAGCTGGTTTAGGTATATTACGCCTGGCGGAAACGAGACGATTATATCGCTATTTATGCCAGTAACGTGGCGATCACCGATCACTGTTCAACCGTAATTCTGTAAGGAAAACGGACGGTCTCGTTCTAAATCTCAGGCCTGCAACAGTGATCAACCAATTACTCGTCCCCTTTCTTATACCACACGTCGTTGCATTCGGAAAGCAACGCGGTGGGCGTGACCACTGATAAGACGTTCGACTTAGAACCTTAACCGCTCTCTCAAAACAAAGTGGACGATTAAAATTACGGGATTCTAAGAAATGGTTTCAGTCTAGACGTCTGTCATGTACTTCGTGGACTTTAATTATATCTTATTACTTTCCTACTTTTAGGGTGGACACTGTAGAAATAAAACGTGATACTGAACTTCACTACTTTCACGTTAATATTCCTAATTTCGTTTCCTTTCTTCATTTAAAACTGGAAACTGTAGCTGTTCCCAATGAATTGCAAATTAATAGGCTTACTAACCTGGGGTAAGTTAGTAACCCTCAAAAGCTAAACTGGTAAAAGAACCGCGCGCGCAAAGCCATATTGAATGACTTTTAATCGATAATTTTCACTTATCACATTTCTATATAATATATTATCACCTAACTTTTTTTCCCATGACAACATTACAAAACAATTGTATGTATTTCACACATTGAAGTAACATGTACTTACGTACTAGAACAGCTATCTCAAACAAAAAATGTGCGCTACTCTGTGTTCGCGCGGTTGGTATTTTTTTATCATAGAATAAACATAGGTAGAATGATCCGTAGGTAATAATAGATTAATAACTGTTGTTAAATAGGTAAATTATATCGAGAACAATATTTAAATTCTGTCATTTATTTTGTATATTATATTTGCTTCTTTAATATAATATTACATAATATTATGTCACAGTTACATTTTAGTGATATTTTTATCTGAATATTTTAAAAGGTATACTATGTCAAATATAAAAAAACATACTAAATGTGTGTTTAACAAAACTTGTTACCATAACATTTAAATTACAAATATATTTATTTAATTTAGAATAAGAGTCGTTCATAAATACTGTGCACGCGAGAGTTAAAAATGGACGAATTTATTCCACTTTACTTTGATGTGGAAACCTAAAAATAAAATAAAAGAATAATAAGCAGATTTGAACACGAAAAATTTAGCCTAATTATAATAACTTATATATGTTTCAACAAAAAAAAAACGCGTATAATAATATATTCATCCTATACTTAGTACCCACATACTAAGTACCCACAGAAATGTCCCATCTGAACATATTAATTTCATAATCTATATTTCATGACAGGAGATGGCGTCTTAGGAATAATTTTATTATTATTCTATAATACTGTTTTACTGATTAATTAACCGATGGAAAGTAATTCCTTGGTGTTTACTGACATTTATTCAATTATTTGTGCAGTATTTAAGTACACACGACGCCATATTTTTATCAAGATATTTTTTTTAAATCAACACAACACGTGACAACTCTACAAGCGCCTAGCGAGTGACTGATTAATGTGCGGTGTATGCACCGCAGTTGAGTGGAACATAGTAGCTGAATGCAGTGTCGCCTCTAGTACGTAGTACATAATAGCTCCATGATTTCACACATAGTAAAAACAGAACACATTATAAAAATAATTAAAATATTCACATTGCATAAAGCATAAATAAAATATATTATTTAATTTATCATTATATGCTTGCTAAATGGAATTATAAAATGAAAAAATAAACAAGATAATAATAATTGCAAGCATTAATTATGTATTAATATCATTTCCGTTTAACCGTGTAAAGGAACGCTCGGTCACAATGACACTTCTCATAATGTTGCACACTTATATACTTCTGCATTAAATTAAGGAGTTTTAGTGTTACGATGCTTATGTATTAGATTAATAATTATGATGACTATTACTAATATAATATATACATTCCTTTTACTTTTCTTAAAATAATTATTTACTTTAGTTTTTAATTAAAAAAACGATACTGAAAATATAACAATTAATGGTATTTTACGCGTTATCATTGACATAAGTGTTTTTTGTTGACAAACATTGTTAATAAACAAATAAGCAGACTGTGGGATTTACTATCACCACTTCCTATGAGATAAGATTGTAATCAAGCACTGGCTTATAATAATTTATAAAAGATACAAGCATGTTTTTGAGTTACAATATTAGTTCAAGTGAATGTTGGGACACTTTTATAATATTCAGCATTCAGTGGAAGTTATTATAAACTAATATAAAATAATTTGGAAAATCCAAAAGTGCACGCCTGATGAGCGTTTTTATTGTTTCCATCGGATTTCATTTAATTTTGATGATGAAAATAAATATCTTTTAGTCTTCTATGAGTCTGATCACAACCAGCTATAGGGATCATCCTGAGGATAAATAGAAACTTATTCATAAAGATTTATGTCATTTTGTTGCTTATGTTTTTCTGAAACGTGAAGACAAACAAGTGCACGGACTAACTGACAGCCGTACTAATAATTTTGAACTACATTTTATGCAAATACTTTATAATTTAATATATCTAGTTTTCAAAACATCCCTTTTTTAATGATTTAGAGTCCCACACGCTACTATACATACTAACATTTTTATACAGCAAAATCGTCACTAGGCGGCATGTCGAAAGTAGTAGAGTAGTTCAACACACTTGCGCGTTGTTAGGCGTGCAATAATATTAATATGAAAAAAAAAATCTTTGACAATAACCTAATTATGGAAATAAACAAAATCATTGTCTTGACTTACATAAAATTTATATGGTAATTATATTTATAATACAGGCAACAAATATGTGATGGCCATGGCAGGTCAGTCACGCGAAAAAAAAAATGTGAATTCTTTAACGTTATTTTTCATAATAAATAAACTTTTAAGTTTTAGTTTTGTGAATAACAAGAATCAGGAAAGATATGGAATTGATACTATATCTGTGGTGTTGAAGTTCTAACATAAATATGAGTTTTGTAGTGAATTTGTTTGTGTTGATGAAGATTTGATTTTTTTTGCTGTGGTGTCATTCAGGTATTTTTTACATTCATTGTATCGATTAGTGAAGGACGGCGCAATGTTACTGTTTTACTTGGTGTAAATTGGACTTCATTATGTTTATTAATTTAAAGACTAATATAATGTAATATAAACTTACGAGAGTATATTTCAATACATCAGTTATGTTGTATTTGTACATAATATTTCGTAAACTTTTAACAAAACCTGATACAGTTTAAATTTATAGTTTTTTAACATGTGGCAAAGAAACAGTACATTATTTCATAATATTTTCATAATCTTAATTCCAATAATATTAAAATTTCTGTTTACAGTCTCATCACTGAATTTCTTTCGATGAAGGAATTACTTGATACTAACAGAAAAGCAAGATGAACCAGAGTACTGAAATGGAAATAGATCCACTTGCCACCTACGAGTATTTTTCTGGCTATGGTCTGCCACAGGTCAACACCAATACACACCAATACCAAAACATTAGTACACATCCGAATTATTTTGATGTTAAGGTTGAACCATATCAATCTTCAACTGTTTGTGTAAATAATTATAGTACCAAATCAAATAGTAATAATGTAGATATACAAGCAGGAGATACGGGAACAGCAACTAATTGTAGTATAAATGAAAATCCAAGCAATATTAAAGAAAACACAGTAGAAAATATTCCGAACAATGCCCAAACACTTGTAAAAAATAAGAAAATTAAAAAAGAAGGTAAAACTGGTCAAAAAAGTTACATGTCAGAAAAAATAACAGATAGCAATTTCCCATTCTATGGTTGTGCGGTCTGTAATATTAGCTTTAAATTGTTAGCTGAATTAGACATTCACATTGCGACACACAAGGACAGAATAACAAGTTATGGTTTGAGACTAAAAAATCAAATAAAAAGGAAGAAACTGAGAAAGGAACAGAAAAAGTTGAAAAAGTTAAAGAAAGCAATAAAAAAGGAAAAAGTGTTTGAATTTGATGTAGAAATCAAACCCGAGGATGGTTATATAGGTAACGTAAAAGCTGAACAATTTAAGCCAGAACATAATGACATTATAAATAATGATCATCAAAAAACCAATGCCTTGATTAATGGTGAAAATGAAGTCATAGAAAATCAATCAAAAATTGATATCCCCTTGACGGAAGCGCAATCTGACTGTAAAGAAAAATCTAAGGAAAACAATAAGAGAAAAAATGACAAAGATCAAACAGACTACAACATAGAAAAGATGTTCAAATGTTTTGCTTGCCAAAAGCAGTTCATGTTGAGCTATTACTTAAAATTACATGTTAGATCTCACACAGGTATGGTAGAATTCTCAAAGTCAAAATTAGTTTTTTTCTATTTGGACTTTTTAAAAATCCTTATAATATCACAAAATCTACACCGGCTTGAAAAGAGTTTCTCAAAGAGAAATCTGGGATTTTTATTCCAATAAGAAAATTCCTCATACTGAATTTCGATCACAGTGGTCAGTCTCTACAGAAACTGGCCATGGGTGCAGGATAAGATGATAATGCTTGTGTGTATGTGTAAGTACAAGTGCACTCTCTTATCACTTAATCTCATAGTCCAATAGGACAGTAACCCGACACAACCGGAGATTGGGCACAGGACCAATGCCATTACATGCTTTCCGAGTCACGGAGGTGAAAGACAGTCACTTTCTGACTCTGGGCTGCTATTGAAAATTTCTTGACAAAAAACCTCAATAACTTATTTTTTTGGCTTGACCTGAGATTCAAACTTGGGATCTCATGATCATCAGACCCATTTACGACTACAATACCAACGAGGCAGTCAAAAAAACATCATTAATGTCTGACCGCTTAATTACTCTTAATTACTTTTCTGGTTGAATGTCTGCTTTCACAAATAATTATGTGTTGCTCTTGAGTAAATATTTTACATTTATAATCAGTTTTAATACTATACACTGTATTATCATATATATATGATAAGCTATGGGGAGGGCTATGCTCGGAGTGTCTCTGCATGATAGACTCAGAAATGAGGATATACGCAGTAAAACTAGAGTGACCGACATAGCCCAACTCGAAGAACCGATAACCGATGGGGAAGAAAGGTTCTCGAGTGGCAGCCTTATATCGGTAGACGTAGTGTAGGGCGATCCCCCAATTAGATGGAGTTACGACCTGTTAAAAAATGCAGGGAGTCAATGGATGCAGGTGGCTCAGGACCGTGCTTTGTGGCATACCTTGGGGAGGCCTATGTTCAGCAGTGGACTTGTGAAGGGCTGTGATGATGATGATGATGATGATGTATAATATAACGTATATACATATAACATATACATATAACACAAGTTAATAGACAAAATTTATTAAGAAGCAAATATTTTTATTCAATATATAGACGGATCTTTAAGAGGATGATTATAGGCAGCATAAAGTTCTGTCTGTTTGAATACTTTAGTGTCCATGAACATAAACTGGCGCTATGTTTTTGGATATTTGTGTAGTTGTAGATGTTTGGGTGGCTATAAATGTCAAAATTTAAACATGGCATTTGCAGATATAAACCAGCGATTAGCTGGAGTTTTATTTCTATAAGTAATGACCTATTGTGGAATCACCTCTTTGTCTTTCAAGTTACATATATATTTTTTATGTAGAAGTTAAGATGAAAAATGAGTAAGCATAAGTTGTGTGATGGTTAGTGCTACTGTAGTTTGAAGACATCTACATCTACCTTCAATTGACAATCAAAATGCAGAAGTGTTGTCTTCACTTAAAACTAAGTTCAAGAGGCTTGTTACCAGTAAAGGAAGTCTTGTTATCTTGTCATCCGTCATACAAAATATTATGCTGCTATTCTATGAAAAAGTGATACTTTCCTGTTTAAGCCCACTCATATGAGTTGCGGCCATAATATATAGCAGCGTTATTGTAACACATAAAAGTTGAGGGTTCGGTTAATAAACTTGTGCAGTTTACACAGACCTGAGATACCAGAGGTATATATGTCCACCTTAAGACTGGACTGGATCAGTCTAATAATGATAACTACATTCAAATAACATTTTTATTGCCAGCTGTTATTTTTTTTTAAACGGTTGCTAAGAGGCTACCAATGAAATTGTTAACTGTAATATTATTTGGTGATTTACTATATGGTTGACCGTTAAGAAGAATTTTCAGAACCTTTATACTAGGGGTGGGCCGAATATGGATTTCACCGAATACGTATATTCGGTCGAATGTTCAGTAAAATTTTTACCAAACCCAATATTTGACCGAACATTATTCGGCAGGATAACCTCGAGACCCAACCAATTTATGTCGAAACTTGTTACCTTAAAGCGCGCGGGATTAGTGCCGGACCCTGCCTCTCTCTCCCCGCCACCCCTGACAGTTATTGCATCATCTACTACTGAGGAAGTTTCCGGCACATAATTATGTTTTGACTATTCTTGTGATAAAAAAGTATTTCGTTGTTTTATTCTTAGTCAAAGTTAAAATTACAGCCTATATACGTCCCACTTCTGGGCACAGGCCTCTGCTCATTTCTGAGAGGTTGTTGGCGAACTTCACATGTCTTCTAAATATTTTTTCCTTATTTCTCAGATATGCAGGTTTCCTCACGATGTTTTCCTTCACCGCTGAGCATGTGGTAAATTAGCACTTAAAATTGCAATTAACAATTACATTGGAGCAGGAGGGGATCGAATCCGGTTTGATTGCGCACTGTGAAATTTACAGCGAGCGCTAACCATCTGAGCTACCAAAATTTTACGTTGTACCAAATTCTTAGTGAATAAAGAGCCGTAAAACTTTTATTCTTAGTAAAAATTGATAATTATATGATAAAAATGAGCGGCAGGAGATTTACTATTTGGACTTATTTTACAGAAACGGACGACCAAAGTAAAGTGAAATGTACTAATGTAATGTAATGTTTCTTTGTTTGATTCTAAAAAGATTTTATCAAGTTTATATTTGCTATAATCGGAAATAAATCTACAGTGCCTCAAAAACATAAATATATAGATTTATGCATTTGAGGCGGTCTAAAGTAGATTTAACTCATAAATATAATATACTTTCAACAGTAAAAGACATCGCATTACTCAATTCGTACATTTCAATACATTGGACGCTATGAAAATGAATGTTCGGTGATTTAGCCGAATATTCGGCCGAATACGAATATTCGGTAAAGCTGCCGAATATGCCGAATACCGAATATAAAACGAATATTCGGCCCATCTCTACTTTTTACCTATTTCTGGGTCAATCAATTTACCTGCGTATTTCCACTGCTTGGTAGCAGTGTGTGTACTTCTTTCTTCTGGTCTGAAAGTTATAGAGAAACAGTATAAAACAAGCTGTGTTATTTCGCTAATAGTCCTCAGAAATGAACACATCTGTAGCCTTGGTTTAAAGTTTTCTATATGTGGTATAGCCATGCTGCAGTTATATTAGTAGTATAATTGTAGCACGAATGGGTCTCGACCGGAGAATGACCACACTCTCACAGACTACCAGCATAAAATAGTAGCTTAATGCTGCCGTGTTTCGTATGGTGAGTGTAGAGAACCGGAGACCCTTTTTACTGGAAATGAGGCATCCCATCTTAGTCCTCACGGGTGACAAGTCATCTGCAGTTTGATTCGTAATCGAGGACAGATGTAGATGTCTATGGGCCACAGCATCCACTTACCATCAGGTGGACTGTGTGCTTGTTTGTCATCCTATTTTATTTAAAAAAAAGTTGGTTGAAGGGTGGTCCATAGAATGCAGTAGCTATTTAGGGTGGACAGTGAGTGTGTTTGTTGTAATTAAATATTTGAGGATATTTTATTATATGTGGTAGAGAAGTTATATATACCCCATAGTGGAGATATATTGTGGTTATAGCACGAATAGGTCAAATTAACTGGGAAAAGACGAAGAGTGATAGGGTTCGCACAGAATACTAGCATAAAATATCAGCTTAATGCTGCTGTGTTATGTATGGTAAATGTAAAAAAAATTAAGGGATACAAGCCATTCTATCATAGTCCTTAAGGATATCAGCAGCTTCCACTTACTATCCGGTGGACTGTGTGCTTGTTTTTAACCCATAATCTTTAAAAAAAATCTTAATTTGCCAACACACTCCACAAGCCACTCGGCAATAGCAGTAGACTTGTGCCCAGCTGTGAGATTTATATAGGCTGTAACTTTGTTACTTTATTTACTTCCAGATGAAAAACCCTACACATGTGCTGAGTGTGGACAGTGCTTCATAACGGCCAGCAAGTTGGGAAGGCATACTAAAAGGATCCATTTGGCCATTCGACATCAATGCAGAATCTGCTACAAATATTTCTCCAGGTGTGTTTCTTTCGATTCAAGTAATTTAACGTAGAAAACCAATCAAACCTCTCGATAAACATTAACCTGTGGCTTAATGTTGATTCCATTAACTATAAAAAGTTCAATGAACATTCTTGATTTGTTAAAATTTGTAGACTACTAATGATATGCACCAACAGCACCCTCTACAAGGTCCAAGGGACTCCATAAGTACCTTATAAAATTTTCATTAAACCCAAAGGTAACAATGAATCTGTAACTTTCTTCATTTGGATGCAGATAGATATAGATAACATGCTTGCAGATGTTAATCGTCTATAGCACTTACCATCAAGTAAAACTGTGTGCTCGTATGTCTACCTTATACTTAATAAAGTGAATGCTACAGCCTTAATAAATTCCATTGCTCGACGCTGGCATCCTCTTTTTCCTATAAGGGTTTTAGATTGATACAAATATGTGTTGTGGCCGACTTCACAATTTCAATCTTTTTTAATGACGGGTTTCTATATTTAAAATGCTTTGTTTACTTTTACGAGCCTTTTTGCAGTATTCAAAGTGTAGGAAAACCCTTGTTTTAAAAAAATACCAGTTCAAATTTATTTTTATCTTATTTTTATGTCGTCTTATGTTGCGAATGAATAGTTTGTAATTTAAACTGAATATATGAATCAGGCATCTTCTTCACCATGTGGTAAATCAGCATGTAAAATTTTAATTTCTACCAAAATTTTTACAAAATATTTAACTCTTTATCAGTATCATCATCTGTACGAGTAAACCCGTACATATGTTATAATTGGAGCGTGCTCATTTCAATCGGTACACATATTCTAACACCTAGCACACCCACATTCTTTTCATCCTACAATCATTACTCCTCACATTTAATCTTGCATTGCATTGCATTATATACTTGTATAGTTACACATACAAATTTTTTTATAAGTCCACTGCTGAACATAGGCCTCCCCCAGAGACTCCTCTCCCTCCCACAAAGCATGGTCCAGATCCACCCTCATCCATCGACGTCCTACATGTCTTACCAGGTCGTCACTCCATCTAGTGGGGGGACGCCCTACACTTCGCCTGCCGGTATAAGGCTGCCACTCGAGAACCTTTTTTCCCCAACGATTGTCGGTTCTTCGAGCTATGTGGCTGGCCCATTGCCACTTCAGTTTACTAATCCGTTGATATATCTGGTGCATTATATCTTCCGTAAAACATATCAAAATAAAACTCAGTTTTATGAAATTTTTTAGCTTCGAAGACATTGTCTTCTAAATATTTACAATAAAATCGCATTTTTAAATCCTCATTGCATTGCATTACATACTTGCGTAGTTACTCATACATATTTTTTTTGGTCCTTCGACTACTACTATAGTGCTTAGTGTTTTGGCACAGTGGCGAATCGGTTCTTCTGGCCTCCCGCAAGCGGGTCTCACCAGTCGAATTGAGAAGGCGCATAATATACTGTGCTGAGGACACGAACGCACTAAGTGGACCCAACGATTGGAAGTTACAGTTCCATCAGTGTTACTTGCAGTTTAATATTTAAACAGTAACTTATCACCATGCAAGCTTTATTGCAGAGACAGTTTGAAATCGTAAACGAGATCAGAAGGCTTAATACCAATTTCAAAAAAGATCCGAAGGTAAGAAAAACCAAGGAGTACATACAGAAGAGAATCAAAGATTTGGATGAACTTTGGGTCGAATTCAAAAGCAACAACGAATAATTATTGACGTTAGAAGACAAGACTCACGAATATTTTACGAACGACATTTTTCTTGTGTATGAACATTTGTATAGCAAAACGCGAGGAATGATGAATGTGTATGAGTGTGAATCAAAGGATGAATCGACTAAGGATAATACCACCCAGGTTGACCTTGAGAAATGTAAAGAGTTATTAAGCTTGCAGCGAACAAATTTTCGAGCATTTTCGAGAATAACTGAGAACATAGACATTGAAAACATTGAAAAAGTCGAGAAATACTTAGAGCATTTAAACAGCATCTGTAATGAAGAAAGTACATGCACTTCAACACTGGCTCAGTTCAGACACGAGTTGGACGAGATCGAACACTACAATATTTTAAAATTTGCACCACTTTCTAGAACAAGAAAAGGTTTAATTAATGGTGTGGGAAGATTAAGCAATTATTTATTTGGTATTTTGGATGACAATTTCGCTGAAAAATACTCTAAAGACATAAAATTAATACATCAAAACGAAATCTGTTTGAAAAGGTTGCTTAAAAATCAAACTACAATAATTGAAGCGGAAAATAATATAATACAGCGAAATGAATACATAATGAATAAGCAATTCACGAGAATCGACGAACAAATACGGAATTTTTCAAACTAAGTTCAACAAGTAAAACAGCGAGCCATAAACATATTTTATTTTACTACGCATGTTGTTACTATTGACGTCATTTTATCTAATTTAAGAAGAATACAGGACACCCTGATTCATACTGTTACGAACATATATCACGGTAGGCTCGATGTTCACTTGCTTTCTCCAGCACAACTGCAAAAACAGTTAAACATCATATCAAGACATGTCCAGGGAGAGTTTTTAGTCCCGGTCAACGTTCAAAATATTAAGGAGTTATTCAAAATGCTACAAGTAAAGGCAAGAATAACCGAAGATTACGTCATAATTGAAGTGAAGGTGCCACTACTCAGTACTGACAATTATGAACTTAGTAGAGTCATACCTATACCGCAAGGAAAAAATTTGAACTCAGTCTACGTCACACCTTCTACCGACTACATAGCATTCAATTTACGAAAAAATACCTTTATGTCGCTGTCGGAGAATGATTTACAACTCTGCATAAGATACAATGACGTTAACCTATTATGCCCCATTACTAGTCCATTATACGAACTTAAAGTGAGTCAGTCTATATGTGACGTAAAAATAATCACGGATGACAGCAATCAAACATATTGTCGTAGAGACACAAAGGAGTGCCCCGACAGATGGATTAAATTACACTCTCGTGATAACTGGCTGTACACATGCTGCGAAGAATGCAAGATCCGCATATTACGCTCGTCTGGGCTGGCGACGACGAGTCTGCGCGGCAGCGGTCTTATCAGTATAGGTCAAGATTGCATTCTTAAGGGGGACACGTTTTCTATACAAGGCCAGCAGGACTATAAGAGTGAAATATATACAGGAAGTTTTGACATCGGGAGTACGGATGAAGATTCCATATTGAACTCTGTCATTAATACGTCTACCAACCAGCTGCCATTTGTTGCTGAATATCACAATAATACATTTTGGAAAATCAAGGGGCAAATACAAGACTTGCTGAGTCAATCTGATGAAGGGATATCAAATGATGACATACACCACTACGTTATGATATACATCATGTACTTCATAGTAGTCGCAGGTATACTAACGGCAGCTATCTACCTTTATAGAAGAAAACTACATTATATCAACACGGCGAGGCCAGCTGACGCGCCCCCCGCGCCCGGCAGCCCGCCGCCAGCGCCGACCGCGCGCCGCATACTCAGCGGTTCGCGCACTGCGGATAAGACTACATCCACAACTTTTGACAAGATTATTAAGTTCGAGTCTAAAATAGACGAATAATATTTTTCTTATTTTTGTATGCTTTTTAGATTTTATTCTCTTTCTTTGTTTAAGACTTGGCAATATGTACGAGTAAACCCGTACATTTTTATATGTTAGCGTAATTGGAGCGCGTGCTCGTGTTTGACGTCATTTCAATGCATTGTACACATATTGTTCTTATAATAAATTCAGTACCATTAGCACGGCCTCACGATAAATAGTGTTTCATTTTGTATCCTACAATATCAGTATTTGAGTGGTACTCCTCAGCAGCATTTAATCTTGCATTGCATTGCATTACATACTTGCATAGTTACACATACATATTTTTTTTGGTCCTTCGAGCCGGATCATTCACAGCCCTTCATAAGTCCACTGCTGAACATAGGCCTCTCCCAGAGACTCCTCCCCCTCCCACAAAGCACGGTCCAGATCCACCCTCATCCATCGACTTCCTACATGTCTTACCAGGTCGTCACTCCATCTAGTGGGGGGACGCCCTACACTTCGCCTGCCGGTATAAGGCTGCCACTCGAGAACGATTGTCGGTTCTTCGAGCTATGTGGCTGGCCCATTGCCACTTCAGTTTACTAATCCGTTGATATATCTGTTGTATTATATCTTCCGTAAAACATATCAAAATAAAACTCAGTTTTATGAATTTTTTTAGCTTCGAAGACATTGTCTTCTAAATATTTACAATAAAATCGCAATATATAATTACATAATAACAGTTCTCTCATTTTTTTAATTATCTTTTACAGATTTGAATATTTAACAAGGCATTTTGATAAAAAACACCCAGAGGATAAATTGGAAGGAGAGCCATATGGTATGTATGTGGAAATTTGTGATCTACATGATAAATTTCTGCGAGTGTGTCCAGAAATTACATGCCTTAATTCCTCCCTTCCCTTTCCACTTTATCCCTTTGTTCCACGCATTCGATTCAACCAGTTTGCTTCTTCTTTTGTAATGCATACAGCATAGTAGGGATGTCGATTCTTTCCGAAAAAGATCGATTTTTAAATCGATTCCAATCGAAATCTGATGAATCGATTCACACAAAATCGAGGTCTATAAAATCGATTTCTCAAACGTCGATCTTTTTTTGATTTACGAAGTACAGATTACAAACGTAATTTTTTTATTTCTTTAGTTCATTCAAAAGAGGCGAAAGAAACTGACTACACAGCAGTTTTGCTAGTTATTGAATGGAAAAACTATCCTTCTTTACTAAATTGGGTACATCCAACTAATGGTAAATAATTTTATAGTTCTTATGTGATTTTCTAGGGTGAAATATCGATTCACTGGATCGATTCAGTACTATATATCGATTTAAAAAATCGATCTTTTTGGTACTATTAATCGATTCTTCGATTAATCGATCTCAGATCGGCATACGTACAGCAAAGGAACGGAACATTCTGCCAGCGTTTGTCTTTCTGTCCGAATACAATCTAGGTGTCTTAAATGCTTTTGTTACGCTAAGACAATTCAATTTAATATCTTGGGTTACTTACCATCAGGTGGGACTGTAATCAAGCTCTGACTTATAATGAAGAAAAAAAAACTCATATCCTCTTCATTTGGAACAACCTATTAATAGTCCACACGTGGTAGAGCCACACTACAGCTATATTATGGTTGTAGCATGAATGGGTCAGCTCGATCTGGGAAGGACCACGCTCTCACAGAATACCAGCGTAATATAGCAACTTAATACTGCTGTGTTTCGTATTGTGAATGTAGAGATCTGGAGACCCCTTTTTACTGGAAACGAGGCACTCCATCTTAGTCCTTAGAAGTGACAGCTCATCTGTGTTTTGATTGTAAATCGAGGATAAATGTAGATGTCTATGGGCCACAGCATCCACTTACCGTCAGGTGGACTGTGTGCTCGTTTGTCACCTATATTCTATAAAAAAGTCTAACGTTGCTTATGCACCTTCGTCAAGGAATGCCACTTAACCTAAATGCATCTATCGACTTCCTGCATCTCTTAGGTCATCAGAAACAGAGACAGAAACTATTTTATTCAACATAGATTATAAATCATACTTATTAAAAGTCACTTTTTTTTTTCAATTTACCACTGATTCGGAAAGAAACCTCTGTCCTGGGAGCAACCTTCCTGTCTTACCTTACATAGTAGGGGATAACCATGATATAGTATTATTTGCTGATGATACTTCATTAATTTTCAACTTAAAACGACAGTTATTAAATTACGACGAAGTAAATAATGCTATAGCTAAGTTAGTCAATTGGTTTAATGTAAATAATTTGCATTTGAATGGAACTAAAACTAAATGTATGAAATTCGTAACTCCTAATGTTAAACATGTCAATATGAATGTAATTTTAAATGGGGAGGAACTGAGCCTTGTTGATACCACCATTTTTCTTGGAATCACCCTGGACGCAAAGCTTCAATGGCTACCCCATATATCAAAACTAGCTAGCAGACTTAGGTCTGCAGCATATGCTGTAAAAAAGATTAGAACTCTTAAAACAGCTAGAATAGTTTACTTTAGTTATTTCCATAGCATTATGTCGTATGGTATTTTGCTATGGGGACACGCGACTGACACTGAAGTTATATTTATTTTGCAGAAGAGGGCCATTAGAGCAATATATAATTTAAAACCAAAGGAGTTACTGAGACAAAAATTTAAGGAAAGCAATATATTAACTCTGGCCTCTCAATAAATTTATGAAAATATAATGTACATACACAAAAATAAAAGTAGTTTTGCGAAAATAAGTGATATTCATTCTGTAAATACTAGGAGCAGACACAAGCTAGTAGTACCAGTTACTCGACTCCACCGAGTCAGTAATTCATTCTTGGGGCGATGTATACGCTTTTACAACAAAATCCCAGAAAATATACAAAATGTGTCATACACAAAGTTCAAAAATGTTATTAAACTAAGTTTGTATAAAAAGGGTTATTATAATATTAAGGAATTTATGGATGATAATAACCCCTGGGGAGTGTGATCGCTACCAAGCTATTTCTAATTTGTCTTGTGTTGTTAATTGTAAACATGATTGTAAGCTATTATTGGAAAAAAAATAGTCCCGCTGGGTTTTTTGCTGGTTCTTCCCAGGACAGAGGTTTTTTTTTGCGAACCAGTGGTAAATTAGAAAAGTGACTTTCAATAAGTATTGTTATGATCTTCATTGAATAAAAAAGTTTCTGTTTCAAACCAGCAGGACTTTTTTCCAAGTATCACTGTCACTATCTAGTCCCTACTAGATTGCCCTCCTTTTTGCTTATCGGCAAGGGACTACCACTTGTAAATCGAGAAGATTAGGGTTTGGTTAATCCTAGCCAATACGCTCCACCATCTTCTGCTATATCACCACTTACAGTCAAGTGGGATGGTACACAATCACTGGCTTAAAATAGTTTAAAACACTTTTTCTTTATTCTAAAAATTACTTCAAAGACTGATAATATTTCCCTTGTGCTCTTCATATGTTTACACGTGTCCGTATACGTGTGTGTCGTGGTTATGTCTTTTTTTTAAAGGCTGGGGTAACAAACGTACCACACAGTCCACCTGATGGTAAGTGGTTGCTGTGGCCCATAGACATCTACATCTATCCTCGATTACGAATCAAAATGCAGATGCGATGTCACCCTTGAGGACTAAGATGGAATGCCTCGTCTTCAGTAAAAAGGGTCTCAGGTTCTCTATATTCACCATACGAAACACAGCAGCATTAAGCCACTATTTCACGCTGGTATTCTGTGAGAGCGTGGTCCTTCCCCGGTCGAGTCGACCCAATCGTGCTACAACTATATTACTAATATAACTGCAGCATGGCTCTACCACATACAAATGTCTACATGAGGAGTATATTCATGTACGTGTACTGGTTCATGTTCATGTATGTATACGCTCACAAATACGTACGCGCGCGTGTGTGTGTGTGTGCATCCGTTTATGAAACGTTTCTTCGTCGTTCGTAATGAGTACAACCAAGGAGTGGAATATGTCGCCACCATATGTCTTAACATTCTATTACAATGTGGGTGTTATCGATGCAAGAGTAAATAGACCCTTGCATATTTGTGTATGTGTGTGTGTGCGCGCGCGAGCTACATCAACACACACCATCAAGTGGGATTGTAATCAAGCACAGACATATAAAAGTTTTAAAAAAATGTGGTGATGAATTCCCTTTACACCATGTTCATATTGGAACTATATCGTAATAATTGATTTTATTTTTAACAGATTACAATGCCATCTTGCCATATCTTAAAGAATTAGAGGAGCAGTTACAAGTGAAGTCCGAAGAAACAACAAAGACACAAGATTTAAAACCAAAATCAGACAACCTTTGGGACGATTGGCCTTCAGAAGACCTTCAGACAGGTTGCAAAGCGGAGCAAAATGAAGTTGTCGGGGAACCTTTGATGCAAACAGATATTCATATAGCCGATGAGAGAAAAATCATAGATTTGAACCGTCCGACAGATGAAGATGGATCAAATAAAGAATTTAGTGTGGATGTAGAAGTAAAGAAGGAAGATGAAGATTATAATGAGATGGACAATGATGAAGTTGGTAAAGACGACAGTGTGAAGGATGATAGGTAAGTCTTTTGGAATGTCATAGTTAAACAAAAGTAATTTTAATAACAAAATTGATGTACGCCCTGTCAACACAAGGAACAAACACAAAGTGATGATACCAGTTACTTGACTAGAGTTAGATTAGATTAGCTTACGAGGGGCTATTTTCCGTAACTCCACGTCTAAGTGCGTATTTTGCGTGTAGGCAGAAATCTCCCCAGTATTTTGATCTTGGGAGCTTTGATGTTGGGAGCAACTTCGGGGATTGATCCCGGCGTGCCGTTTAGCCTTGTATGCATCGACCGTACATGGCAGAAACACGTGGGCCGCAGTTTCCTTCCCCACACCCACGTACAGTCACGTTATGTTAAACGAACCATGTCCTGCTCTTGTTGCTATCCTGATCTGTGGCTCGTTCAATATTATAAAGACTTTGGTTAAACAATCGTTTATTTCTAGCTTGTCTACAGACTATTTGACTTTTGCAAGAATACCGAAAAAATTTTTTATTTTACTTTTTAAACACCCAAAAAAAAGTAAAAATAAACCAATCCTAAGTAGTTTTAATCAAGCTGAACATGTTCATTAGTGAAGTTTTTACGTACCAGTGAATGAATGTTACCTAAATTTTTATGTGGTAGAGCCGTGTTGCAGTTATATTAGTGGTATAGTTGTAGCACGAATGAGTCGGCTCGACCGGGGAAGGACCACGCTCTCACATAATACTAGAGTAAAATAGTAGCTTATTGCTGCTGTGCTTTGAGTGTAGAGAACCGGAGACCCTTTTTACTGGAATCGAGGCATTCCATCTTAGTCCTAACGGATGACAACGCATGTGCATTTTGATTCGTAATCGAGGATAGATGTAGATGTCTATGGGCCGCAGCAACCACTTACCATCAGGTTGACAGTGTGCTTGTTTGTCACCCTATCCTACAAAAAAATGGGATTGGTGTGATTGGTTCAGAGCCGATCCTTTCCTGGCCAGTTCGGCTGCTGCATCTTTTCCCCTGCATCAATTGCTCCACAGAGTTAGTAGTTCATTCATGGGGGCATTGTGATAACAAATTTTGAATATTTTATTAAACAAAGACTTGAAAAAAGGGTTATTATAAAATGAATGATTATATGTTGATAAAAACTCCTGAGAATGAGATTGTCGCTTTCAAGCTATTTCTTATATGAGTGTTGTAAATAATAGAGAAGTTGCATTAATTTTTTTGCCACAAATTTATATATAAATGAAAGAATAATTCATTTAAAGTATATTTAAATATTTTTTTATTACCAATTCCATTTTTTTTACTAATTATTATAAAAAAGTACTTAAATTTTTGAATGAAAAAAAAAACAAATTGTGATTGGTTGGGACGTTGTTATATCCGTTGAGGATGTGAGCCGATCGCAATCATGCTATACTTTTGTATTTTCTATATTCGTAACCCTATGTCTATGTGTCATAAGCTCATAATTCATAACAAAACATAATATATAACCCGTATTATGCAATTTAAATTGTAGAATTACTTGATTACCAATTATTATTATTTTTTTCTTAATATTTTTCACTTTGACTTCTCTATTGTACAATCTATTTTACATTGTATAATGTTACTGTGGAAAAAAAGTCTTAGTGGGTTTCTCGCTGATTCTTCCCAGGACAGGTTATTTTCTTAATCATTGTTTAAAGTAAAAAATTAATTTCAGTAAGAATTATGTACAATCTATATTGAATAAAAATTATTCTATTCTATGCAACCGCAAACATAAACTTTTACAGAATTTTTCACTGTGGCGCACCGATATGAAATGATAATAATATCTCTGGTGTGCATCGTTGGCCGGCGTCCTTTGTTATAGAGGCGGCTTCTTTTGATAATCAGCGGCACGTGCCTCGTGGTATACTTTAAGAGGCGACAAACTCTTACATAATTCTGTCGCCAAATAGCAGTTTTGCACTATTTTGTTTCGACCTGTAAAAAGCCAATATAATTGACGCATTATTAAAAAGCCGAGGCCTTTAGATATATCTATTCCTTATTACGTCTAAAACTACAGTTGTACAATATATAACATAATAATTATTTCTCTACACACACACACACACACACACACACACACACACACACGCACGCACGCACGCACACACACACCACCACACACGCACGCACGCGCACACGCACGCACGCGACACACGCACACGCACGCACGCGCACACGCACGCACACGCATACGCACGCACGAGCGCGTGCGCCGCACATACACACACACACACACTCACAACACATACATATACTTTTATAATTTTTGGTTGTTAAAATAGAGTAATTAGTTTTTGTCATTATCGGTTTTTAGAATTAAAAAATGTATGTTTAAATAAGGAAGAGCGGGGTTTCCAAACAGGCATTACTTTCTTAAATGGAGTTTTGTAAAGAAAAATAAATTATTTATTTATTATTATACCTAAGAACTCATCTTTGGTTCGTTTTACACTCATTTTTGGTTCGACGCTCACATCAATTTACTTCTGATGTAATAACAATTCCATTTTCAGCTTCTCTGACGAGGACTACTTTCCCTCAAACACATGGGCAGCCACACCAAAAATGGAGAGTGACCCACCATCAACGGTCACGCAGAAGCGGCAAAAGCAAGACGGTCCCATCAAATGTGAAGTCTGCGAGAAATCAATCAGTTCTCTGTCCTACCTGAGGATCCACATGAGGACACACACCGGGGAGAAGCCGTTCAAATGTTACATTTGTAACCGAGGGTTCATCACGTCAAGCAAGATGCACAGACATGTGCTTACTCATTCGGAAACATGGGGTTAGTATTCTTTTAACATTAGGTTCGTTTGGCAGAAAAAAGCGCTAGCAAGCGCTTGTAAGCAAAATGGCGATCGTAAGCGGTAAGCGCTGTCAAATCGTAAGTAGCTATTCTCCTCTAGGACACGATGTTACTTTTAACCGGGGAATCTAACCTAATTTAAATATATGTTTGTAAAGTATTCATATTAAAAACTTACCAATCATGAGTTTTTAATAGCATGTATATGTTTATTCATGTCATTATATTACTTAAAAATAATATTGCACAAAATAACTTATAAACTCTACTTCAAAACAAACAAATTAAATAAGCAAAATGGCGGATTGTGTCAGCGCTACTGAAGTAGCAATCGTGTCCTGTCCGAAAACTATTTTAGCGCTTATAAGCGCTTGCTAGCGCTTTTTCTGCCAAACGCACCCATTATATTATCATAGCTTGTGTTTTGGTGACTTTTGATATGTAAGCTGGTAATATCCTCCAAACCGAATTTCGGTCACGGCGGCCTGCCTCAACGGAGACTAGCCATCGACGCATGGCAGGATTATAGTGCCCAAGTGCATACATAAGCGCACGTGAACTATGTTTCATCACTTTCATAGTCTGATGGGACGCTAAACCGACACAAACGGAGAGAGATCAGGCGCAGGACCAACGGCTTTACGCGCTTTCCAAGGCACGTGGATGTAACCACGGCCAACTTCCTTACTCCGGGCAGCTCCTGAAAAATTCTTGATGGAAAAATTCAAAAAATACTTAAGTTATTTTTTGGCCCAACCCGGGAATCGAACCTCGGGAGCTCATGGTCTGCAGTCGCGTTTACAACCACTAGAACAAGGAAGCAGTCATTATTTGAATGGATGAAGATTTATCTTAATTAATTGTTGATAAGAATTAAGATTATATAATTTTTATTTTGATAATTATGTATACGTGGTAGATCCAGCCACGCTGCATCTATATTATGGTTGTAGCACGAATAGGTCAGCTCGACCGGGGGAGAACCACGCTCTCACAGAATGCTTAATGCTGCTGTGTTTCGTATGGTGAGTGTAGAGATCCAGAGACCTTTTGTTACTGGTTACGAGGCATTCCGTCTTAGTCCTCACGGGTGACAACGTATCTGCATTTTGATTCGTAATGGAGGATAGATGTAGATGTCTATGGGCCACAGTATCCACTTATCATCAGGTGAACTGTGTGCTCGTTTGTCACCCTTATTCTATAAAAAAATTTGTTAGGAACCCTAAACTAATAAAGACAGTAAGACAAATACTAAATGAGATTGATAGCGAAAGCAAAGAAGTATTAGAGGAGTCGGAGGCAATTGCAAGGATTGCATATACACTAGTTGTGTCTGCATTAAATTAATGCCTGAAATGTGCAAATTAAGTAGATACTTCAATTTTAGAAAAAATGTTATTAATTAAATTGAGGGATAAAGCATTTTCTTTGTCATTAAGACGACACACCGAAAAAGTGGCTCCAGACTATCGCCGAACTGATCTGAGTGAATACATAATTTCTTTAAAAACTTGAAAAAAACGCTGTCATAAGGTCTAAAATTGCGTAGCGCCCGCGACGATTAAAAGCGCTCAGAAATTGTCAGAATCTTAAAATATTTTTTTAAAAATTATTGATTTAAGTAATCAAAATAATGAGCAAGTAAATTATGAATATTGATGTTATGAATATATTTGAGTGATTCCCAAGCATATAGATTAAGTAATTTTGTTGTAATTTCAACTATAGTGATTTTTAGAGGTGTTTTCGCAAATAATTATGATCGAGTCAAAATTATACAATCGTGTTTTTAAACAATTAAATTCAAGATAAAGACATGAATTTACCTATATCAAAATTCCACTTTCGTTAGTGGTGTCATAGTCCTATACTATTCGATGAACGGAGGTGCATTTTTTCACGGTGTCGCCTTAACATAGAATACTATAATACATAATAGAACGGGGGAGTGGGCGGAGCCCGCGTAGCCACTAAAATGTCACTAACACGTCAATTTTTTTTTTAATTTTGACGGCTCCGTGGCGCATTGGCTTAGCAATGAGTGGCTGCGCTGGGAGTCGCGGGTTCGAATCTCGCACAAGTATTTGTATGGCCTACAAACAATTGTTCCGGGTCTGGATGTTCGTCCTTGTGCAATTTATGTTTGTAATCTGCCCCCACGATAAAGGAGAAAATCCTAGTGTAGGGGTAACGTTTTTTTAAAAAAGAATGAAATGAATGAAATTCACACATATAAATGTCAACACGAGATGTGTTTTGACGTTACAATCGTTTCCAAATTTCGCATGCAAATTATTTAGAAAACGCCAAATCGCACCCTATTATAAATGTGTATTAAAATTTAAACCATTTTTTTAATGGTCATCTTGAACATTAATCTTTTGATTTGATTAGACTTTTGTCTCAAATGTGTAAATTTACTCAGTATGTCAAAACAGCGAATCTGGTTTGGCGACGCCAAGCCTTGTACAAAATAAAGTTGACAGCCATTCTATTGTGTATTCTATGGTCATTAAACACCACCTGTACTATACTAAAAATGTATTATAGTATTCTATGGTCATTAAACACCACCTGTACTATACTAAAAATGTATTATAGTATTCTATGGTCATTAAACACCACCTGTACTATACTAAAAAAAATTAGATTGTAATAATGCTAAACGATTAAAATTTCTACTCACTTTTATGAAAATTTATAATTCATTTCAAAAAACTCCTCACACTCACTCATATTATAATCCGAACGCCACATTAATCTGAACAGTGTGTTTATTTTGGGTATTTGTATTATCGAAGCCCTACTGTCGGGGTCGGTTCGACCGGGTTAGGACCACGCTCTCACGAGTGTAGAGAACCGAAGACCGTTTTTTACTAAAAACGAGGCATTCCACCTTAGTCCTCAGAAGTCACAAGGCCTACCTTTTAATTCTTAATCGAGGTTAGATGTAGATGTCTACGGGCCGCAGCATCCACTTACCATCAGGTGGTCTGTGTGCTCGTTTGTCACCCTTATTCTATAAAAAAAAAAAGAATTAGTCCGTACCATTTGTTGCTTGAAAAATCCTCAAACCTGTATTTTGCTATTTTATCATATTAAGCTTTAGTAATATTGACAGTGTAGTGGAGGTGTATGATATTCACACCACCCCATATCATCCCGTGGGCGTCGTATGAGGCGACAGAGGGGAAACTAATCTGGAGATGGGCAGCAGTGTCTTCCTGATATCGACAAAAAATAAAAAAACTAGGGTTGCCACTTTGGCAAATATCCCCCCCCCCTGTTAGACAATCTACAGGCCCTATAGATGAATGGTTTCAGCGGTTTACTTTAATAGGTTATCGGGTAACAGTGCTGAGTTGCGAATTTAATTTTTAAATATTTCTTTGTCATTACAGATGAAACGTCGAATCTCAAAGAGGAGGTCAAATCTGAACTAGATTCGGACACGGTTAAGAAAAAGAAAAAACGCTCCAAAGAGTGAGTTCATCCATCCATTCCATTTTGTCCAGTCCATTTTGAGTAATGTCATCTTCGACCGTTTTTTTAAATATATAAGTGTATATTATATAATTCTAGTGGTCGCTTGATGGTCGAAATTCGACCATCTTAATATATAAAAATTAAAGTTTGTTTGTTCGTATTTTGTGCGCAGCCATACCGTTCATCAGATTGCGGTAAAACTTTGTCAACTTATTGCTTGTCTTGCCCGAAGGTTATAGTCATAGTACACCTAACATACGAGAGTTATATATAATAAAACAATATAACGTTCAAATTTAAAATAATATTTCTTCTCTAGCAACAATGCTCTGGGTACCAGATAGTAGTTCAAATAATTATTATAGTCAACCAAATCTAAGAAATACCTTTTGACGTTTCACATTAATCATTCCGAAATAACTTTGCGCAAGCGTACTCATACGATTTGCAATAACCTTTTACCTAAACCCGAAGAATTATGAAGTTATCTATATTGAATTATAACGTGTTGAGTTTTTTATCACTAATTTAAATTTGAATCTTTCCAAGAAAGCAAAATATTAAAAAAAACCACTATCAACTTTTTTACTTAACGTCGTTTCAATGATATGTCGATATGTGCCGTAGTGTTTGGATGATTAAAATTAAATATTCGTTGTTATGCGAATAATCGGCAAAAAGATTCAAGTAATCGTTAAAAATATTCATATAATCGAATCATAAATTTTTTAATATATTATTTGTTTAATTAAATTTTTATTTTTAAAATTCCGTAAATTACATGAATCATGAATAAAACAAGTTAATTTTTTTTACCTTGTCAACGTAAAGGACAATGGCGAACTCCCAAATAAATTTTAGTTGACTCTTTTTTTCTTGCGTCTACAAATGCAATATATGTAAAAATATAGTTTAAGACACCTGAACATTTTTTTCTTCGGTCATACTACTGCAGAAAGTCGGGAATTAGAGATATTCCAGTTTAAGCAAAATACATATCAGACTGGTCTGTATTGTATAAAACGCCTTAACTGGTAAATCTTTTTTTTTTTTTTTTTATAGGATAGGGTGACAAACGAGCACACAGTCCACCTGATGGTAAGTGGTTGCTGTGGCCCATAGACATCTACATCCATCCTCGACTACGAATCAAAATGCAGGTGCGTTGTCACCTGTGAGGACCAAGATGGAATGCCCCGTTTCCAGTAAAATGGGTCGCCGGTTCTCTACACTCACCATACGAAATACAGCAGCATTAAGCTACTATTTCACGCTGGTATTCTGTGAGAGCGTGGTCCTTCCCCGGTCGAGCCGACCCATTCGTGCTACAACTATACATCTAATATAACTGCAGCATGGCTCTACCACGTCAAAAACAATTAGTCAATATAATTTTCATATATGTTTATATATGGTAATTACTAGCATAGAAGGAATCTTTAAAGAACGCATTAGTATATAGAGGAGTTTCCTGAATAAAATACGTCAAACTCGGCTGTATGTTATAAGACCTTTGTCTTAACTAACGAATCGTAACAACTACAACAAGTAGTCAATTAAGTTTTGAAATGTGCATGATTATTTTTTCTTTAGCCCATAAGCTTGATTGGATAGTACATAGTAAATTATTTTATTGATATCTGTAATAGTGACTTAAGTAGACGCTTAATAATTCCATCATCTGTTATTTTGCCATTTTCCTTTGTGTAGGCAAGAAAAACTCATACACAAGGCTGCGCTGAAAAACCACTACGTAATTTCAATCTCCCGCCATTTCGGTGGTTTACTGTGCGTAATTTTGTCGTTTTCTGTTTGTCTTCTTATTTTGTGACTCTGTTTTAACTTTATGGACTGTTTCTTCTATATTCGTTGATGCATGCGCCCATATCAACAACGATGATTGGGCAAAAGTGGTAGAAAAAAACAAAGATTATGGATGACTTTGAGAGACAATAATTTTGACTGCATTCTTCTTCTTAATGTGCCGTCTCCTTGCGAAGGTTGGCAATCATTAGGGCGATTTCAATTTTTGAGACCGCTGCTCTAAACAGTGATCTTGTGCTCTTCCCGAACCACTGGCGCAAGTTCTTGAGCCACGATATTCTTCTGCGGCCAGGCCTCCTGCCTGCCACTTTCCCCTGAATGATAAGTTGAAGGAGTTCATATTTTTTGGTGTTACGCATCACGTGCCGAAAATATTCCAATTTCCTCCTCTTTATGGTTGTAAGTATCTCTGTGACCTTCCCCATTCTTTGTAGCACGGTGGTGTTTCGTACGCGGTCTCTCCAAGAAATTCTTAGCATACGTCTGTACACCCACATCTCGAACGCTTCCAGTTTGTTAGACATGGCTTCTGTCAGCGTCCAAGCTTCTACACCATAGAGAAGTACAGAAAAGACGTAGCACCGCGCTATGCGTGTTCGAAGAGAAATACTTAGGTTCCGGTCACAAAGAACCTTTTTCATTCTCGAAAAAGGGCTGTGATTTCCTGTTTCGTCAGCCATTGTGCCTAGATATTTGAATTTGGTGACCCGTTCAAGAGCCTGACCATTTAGGGATAAAGACGTGATAAGCTCAAGTGTTCGGCTTATTACCATGTACTTCGTCTTATTGTTAATACCATATTCAACACTAACGGAAGCCACTGAATCTACTAACCTTTGGAGACCCACAAGACTATCGGCGATTAATATCGTGTCGTCTGCGTACCTAATGTTGCTCAACAATTTGCAATAAATTGATATGCCGTTTGGACTGTTATCTAGTGCCTCTGAAAATATGGCTTCAGCATACAAATTAAACAGTAAGGGTGACAAAATACATCCTTGTCGTACGCCTCTTTCTAAGTCAATGTATGACGATGATTTCCCGTTGGCTCTTATATTTGCACGCTGGTTCCAGTATAAGTTTTTTATGAATCGGCGGTCGTTGAAGTCTAAGCCAATTTTCTGAAGTATTTCAATCAACTTACAATGTTGAAGGCGGTCGAAGGCTTTTTCATAGTCAATAAAGCAGACAAACAGATCTTTATTCATATCCCTTTCTATATATATATATATATATATCCATACCTTTGTATCAGCACTTGATAGCCAAAAAGTGCGTCTCTAGTTTCCAAACCGCATCTAAAACCAAACAGTATATGATAGTAACGGACTCACATTTTGAGTAAATTCTATTATAGATTATTTTTAAGAACAGCTTTAAAACATGACTCATGAGCGAAACGGTACGATAATCACTGCATCTTTTAGGATTCCTGAGCTTGGGTATGGTAATGTCGATTTGAGCCAGTCGGATGCAATCGTGCCAGAGTTGTAAATAGCGTTGAAGAGGCTAACAAGATGATCCAGATTATACTCCTCAATCACTTTAATTACCTCGACTGGTATGTCATCGGGACCAACAGCTTTCCTTGTGTTTGCATTTCTGATGGCATAATAGACCTCGCTCCTTGTAATGGCAGGTCCCGTGTCTTCGGAAATGAAATCAACAGGATCAGACCGAGTGTCACAAAAGAGTTCAGTTACATATTGCACCCAAGTTATCAACATGTCATCTGTGCAAGAGGCATATTTGCCATCTTTATTAAGTAGAGTTGTTTGTCTGCGTCTTTGATGTTTAATAATAATAATAATATAATAATAAAACATTTATTCATTACCACCAATAAAATTACAATAAGCAGTACACACAGAAATAACCAAAATTACATATTGTAGTAATGAATAGGCTCTAGCTCAACATAAATGTTGCAGTTGCCCACAACGCTGTTATTCTGCCAGCGCCCTACAAATGAAGAGTGCAGTACGCTCGCATCCCTGCTTTATTACATTTTAATCACAACTGTTCATATTAGAGTACATCTCGTAGTTTCCCAAGTATTAGCGAATATTAAATATTAAAATATTAAATATTAGATATTAGCTAGTTCAAATTAGTAATTAAGAAATATTTTTAATATAAAAATAGAAATATTTCCATAAAATTTATATTTTTTTTAATAATTATTACAACAATACAACTAACAGTAACAACAAAGTATTAAATAATATTTATTTTACTGATCCTAACTTATTTGAGCTTATAAGTCTACTACCGCCTACTAGCAATGTTTATTTATTTTATTTATAAAACGGCCCTGTGATTTAGTAAAAATAATTCGATTATGACAGTAATTGTTCGCTTAGTAAGTGACGTCTATAATTCTTTTTAAAACTGGTTTTATTTGTCATAGTGCGTAGTGGTTGTGGGAGATCATTCCAACACTTAGTTGCCATAAACTTAAAACTATCCCGGAAAGCCGATGTTTTGTGTTTAGGGACGCAAAAAACTTTAGAGCATAGTCGAATTTTATATAAATGTTGGTCATTTCTCCAGTTAAGTTTTTTGTATATATATTCTGGGTTCTTTGTATTTATTACGCCAAATAGCAAGGAGGCATAAAAAAGTTTGAGACGCCGCTGCATTTTTAACATATTAGAAGCATTAAGATATGACGTGACATGAGATCGTCTTGGTATGTAAAAACAATTGCGTGCACAAGCATTTTGTGCCCTCTGGATTTATTTTTGAGATTTCTTAAGCAAACAAGGTCCGTAAACAGTTATACAATAATTTAATTTAGCTAAAACTAGAGTTTCACAAAGTTTGATACGTAAATTAACTGTAATGAATTGTCTAAATTTGTATAGAACTTTTAATCTGTAAAAGCAGTTTTGTACCAAATTGGTTACATGGTTTTCAAACCTCAAATTGCTGTCAAATAGAATGCCTAAATTTCGTGCTTCATGAACTTGCGCAATTGTCTCTCCATTAACACGTATATCGGGTTTTGTTATAGCAATATCATGTACCTGCTTTTTAGTGCCAATGATAAGGAATTTCGACTTTGAAGGATTAATTACCATACAGTTATTTTTTGACCAATCGCAAGTACGTTGAAGATCGTGATTTAACTTATTTACTACCTGTATATCTGTAAATCATCGGCGTATAGATGGTATTTACAGTTTTGGAGACAGTTTATTATATCAGTGCTGTAAATGACAAAAAGCAAAGGCCCTAACATGGAACCTTGAGGAACACCTCTATCAACAGAAAGAATTTACCATTGTGCCCATCTAAAACTACTTGTTGATGACGGTCAGTTAAATAGTCACTTGAGTGTTTCCTTATCAAATCCATAATATGAAAGCTTAGAAATCAGCAAATTTGTGTTAATTGAGTCAAAGGCCCTTGAAAAATCTAATAAAGTGAGAATAGTACCTTCTCCAGAATCTGAAAAAGGTAACAGATCATCCACGACATTAATAAGAGCTGTTGGTGTTCCGTAATTTTTTCTAAAACCTGATTGTAGGTTGGGTATTATTTGATGTTTTTCGCAGAAATCCAAAACTTGTGGGTAAACAACCTTCTCAAGTATTTTCGATAAATAAGGCAGTATACTAATGGGCCTTAGGTCACCTACATTTGTTGGGTTACTTTTTTTTGGTATTGGACGAATAAGCGCAGTTTTCCAAGAAGAAGGGAAAACAGACTCTGTAATGGATTAATTATTTATTGTAGTTGTAACATTTAAAGTTTTCAGAAGCGTTAGAATTATCATATATTGATGCGGTCAATGCCTTGAGTATTTGACTTAATTCCCATTATGATTTTTGCAACTACATTTTCATGAACTGGCATTAGCTTAAAAGTATCAGATATACGGTTTATACTTTCCAAATTAATTACATTAGATGAATAAGCGATGTTTGTTCCCGGTATACTCAAAAAGTGACGATTAATTTCGTCAGGATCACTAAAATATTCTAGTAAGTCATTCGAACTTTTAAATGACGGTAACGCAAATGACTTAAAATTTTTCCATAGAACATTTGTGTTATGTAAATGTTGATTAATGTGGTAATCAAAATATGCCTTCTTCTCGTCTTATAGGTCTTATATTGAATTTTATCTCTCTCAGTTTTTGTGTGGCGATATTTATTGTGCGCGCTATCACAGAGCTGCATAATGTACTTAACATTATCGTGAAGTTTCTCTGTAGCATGTTTATCAAACAACTCTAAATTGCATTTGGAGAAAGCAGAAACCATATCGTTCACACAATTGTACCTAGTAATGCTATCCCAGTTTATGGATTCAACTTCCGTTCCGTTCAGGGGATATAACCTCTTTAATCTTCTTATGCATATTAAAATAGTCGAACTTTTTATCCAATTCTTCAATCTCAGAACAAAGATCATCATACCACTTTTCTTTTGCCTTTTTTTTGACTGCATTATTGAAAATCAAATAATAATTAATCTAAACAACGACAACTCAAGTAGTTGTACTGAAAGTGATTGAATAAATTTATTTTTAATCTAGTTTCAATTTAAAATGTTTATACCTGTGCCTCCAGAAATAAGCAGTTACAACAAATACGAAGAAACTGATAAATCTTGTGTTTCAAATTATCCGTTTTTAATTTATTCTGGTATTTTCCCAACCAAACTATAAATGATTACTAACTCTAAATAAATGATATCGATTTTTTTTAAGAATCGAATATTGTACGTTCCCATTTTTTGGTTGGCATGCTTGGTGCAATAAGTCTGACAGCTGTCAAAATGTATTTCTTAAATTTGGTTGACTATAGGTTTGTATATTAAGCAAGTTGTATTTCACATTCAGCTGCACATTAATATGTAAAGCACGGATAACTAATATACAAAATATAAAATTAACGCTTTGATTGTCTATGCAAGTCTATGCATACACTTCACAAACTATCAGCAACATTTTAAAATTCTCTGGCGACAATTTCTACTCTGTGCAACTGTTTGACCATAGACTATTTTATGTGATTGACTGAATAAGCTGTGTATTTTGTGTCATTTCAAATATTTCAATATCAATAGTTCGTGAAGTGTATGTCAAGGCGAAAGATATTTGTATTTTTTATATTAAGTAGCGATTCCCCGACTTCGCAAGGGTGATTTCTGGGTCTTTAAAACAGTACCACCTACTGGGTCCAATTGTGGATATGAAACATTTTTAAGTCAACTGAATCAAACACACAAAATATCATCAAAATTGCTCCATACGTTTACGAGGAGTTCAGTCACATACACACAGACAGAAGAATTATATATTATATATGAAAATGTCCAGTTGGAAAATAGCTTGCTTATTATACCTACAAATTTAAAAATTTAATCAATTATTGTCAAATTTCACCAATAGTTAATTATAAAGAAGAAATTTTTTTCATTCAATGGTTTACTGTTCCAGATCCTCAACGAAGAAGGCAAAGGCGAAGTTCTTGAAGAAGTCTAAGCGCAGCACAGCTGAGAAACAGAAGAAGCGTCACCAGAAACGGCCGCACGCCTGCGAGTACTGTCAGAAGCGGTTCCTACACCTGGAAACCCTTCAGGTTCACAAGAAGTCGCACGAAGGTGAAGAGCTGGTGTTCAAATGCCACTTCTGCTTGATCAAAGTGGACGACGCTGAAAGCCTTAAGGAGCATGAGGCGACACATGAGGGTCCGAAACCCTATTTGTGTACATTGTGTGGGAAGACCTATAAGAAACGGGAGACTATGGTATGTTATTCTCTTAACTGGGTGTATTTCTATGATCTCAGTGATGCCGTGCCGGGTCGTTTCTTTTATTTTACCGTTTTGCAGTAAATGAAGTGCATGAGAACCCCTTTTTCCATAAATTTATATAATTTTTTTAATATAGGATAGGGTGACAAACGAGCACACAGTCCACCTCATGGTAAGTGTTTGCTTGGCCCATAAACATCTACATCTATCCTCGATTACGAATCAAAATGCAGTTTCATTGTCAGCTCTGAGGACTAAGATGGAATGCCTCGTTTCCAATAAAAAGGGTCTCCGGTTCTCTACACTCACCATACGAAACACAGCAGCGTTAAGCTGCTATTTTACGCTGGTATTCTGTGAGTATTTAGTGATTCTTAATGCTAGATAGCCTATAATATTTCTAATGAATTTGGCTATCATATACAATTTTTTTTTAAATCGGACTCGCAGTTGTGTTTAGCGTGTTTAAACAACAAAAAAAAAACATTCGCTTTATTAAATTAAGTATAGATAGCATTCATCACAAGTAACTTCCAACCGCACTCCCACCAGATGTACCACCGGAAGCACCACATACCAGAGAGGGAGTACGTGTGCGACATGTGCCCGAAGAGCTTCACGTCCCCATGCAAGTTGCAGAAGCACATCGCCGCCCACAAAACAGACAAATACGTTCTCCGCTACGAGTGTCCAGTTTGTGCTCACATGTTCAACACCAGATATCATATCAATATGCACCTCGTCACCCACCAGAAGGAAGGCCTGTAAGTATACATATAGTGAAAAGTCAAATATTTTTATTCAAAACTGACTTAATGAAACTTAAATTTACGCGAACACTACTCATTGAATAAAACTGTATATACATATATATATATAAAAGTTAAAATAAGTTAAGTATATATATATACCTCACCGGCACGGAAACTTGGCCACTCGTGAATTTGCTGATTATTTGCACTGAAACGTTTTTTTAACAGTAAATTAAGGGTAGATGCATTCAATAAGTGTCTCTAATGGTTTTAGAACATAGAAATTTAATGTTTACTTCACCGAAATTTTTCTTTTCAAGATAACATGTTTTCACTAAAATTAACATCTTTCCATTGTCACTTTAAAAACACTACAAAGTTAAAAATTAAGTCTGTTTCTTTATTGTCTATCAGTTTTAATATCGGGTGTTTCCTCCTCTAGCTCTGATAACCGCTTGCATTCGATCTGTCATGCTTTGAATGATGTTTCTGACATCAACTTGCGGTATGCTGTCCCAAGCGGCCAGCGCTGCATTTCGGAGCTCATTTAGAGTTTGTGGCGGTTTGGAGCTGGACTTTATCTTTCTTTTGAGCATACCCCATACATGCTCAATTGGATTTAAGTCCGGGCTACGAGCTGGCCACTGTAATTTTTGTATTCCAACCTCTTCCAGATATTCCTCTACACAATGTGCGACGTGCGGGCGTGCATTATCGTGCATGAGGAGGAATTGGTCGTGTCCAATGAATCCCGAATAAGGCATTACGTGCTCCTGAAGAACTTACTCGATGTATCGAGTAGCTGTAAGCCGATTATCGACGATGACCAACTCTGTACGTGCGTCGGAACTTACACCTCCCCATACCATTATTGAGCCTCCATGGAAACTCACAGTTTGGGTGGTGGTAATGGGTAGAAACCTCTCTCCTCTTTTTCTCCACTCTTTCTCGACCGTCTGGAGCACGTAAAGCTATTCGAAACTCATCTGTGAACAACACTCTAGCCCATTGTTCGTGGGTCCAATTGACATGTTCTCTTGCGAACTGAAGTCGGGCTACTCGGTGCTGTCTGAGAAGTTCTGGACCTCGTGCTGGTCTACGAGCTTTTAAATTCACTTCCTCCATTCGTCTTCTCACCGTACGCTCACTAACATTAACGCCTCTTGCGATTTGGAGCCGCTGGCGTATCTCAACAGCGGTCAGGTAGCGGTTTCTCAAAATCTCCATAACAATAAAACGATCGTCCCGGGCCGATGTGCACCTTACGCCCCCACTGCCTGGCCTGCGGGTGTAGCGGCCTGTCTCCTGGTATCGTTTCAGTGAATACTGCATTGAGGACCGTGGTACGTTAAGCACAATAGCAACTTCACGCTGTGTCAGCCCTTGGTCAATTAATGCTACTGCTTGTGCAACTTGCGCTGGTGTTAATGGCATTTTTATTGGCTTTAAAGCACCTTTAGTTATTTAATTAAGACACAAGATCACAATAATTGAATAACCTTACAGTAAACTTTTCACAACACACAAATTTAAAATGTGAACTTAGTCGCTCAAATGACCCGATTCAACTAAAAATTAAAGAATTCGTCATGGTGCACTTAAACATAATGAATTACCCTCTTGAACTTGAGGGTAAACATTTTTTGACATACTTGCATAACAAACATTCATCAGAAACACTTAAAGCTTTTGCTATCGCGAGATAACCGCTTGGCCAAGTTTCCGTGCCGGTGAGTTATATATATATATATATATATATATATATATATATATATATATATACGGATTTTATCGCGTTTAATTAACTTATTTTAACTTATTTTTAATTCCCGCCGTTTCGGGTGCTTTACTAAATTAACTTAAATAAAGATCCATAAATACTCTGCAGTCTGTAAACATGTTCAAAATCGTCCCCCACGTTACATTAGATTTGATAAATCACAAATCCTCAAAAAAGAACACCGATTCCTACCAAGGATGATACGCGAGGCTATTGAAATTAAAAAACATCCAAATTTCAATAGAGAAGATGGATGAACAAACCTAAGCATACCACTGCAAGACTTCAAGATACTATTAAGCTCGTTCTACGTAAATTGGACCAAAAATTTACATTAAAAACTGAAGGTAGCCGGGCTAACTATGACCTTGGGACGTCAAACATCTCAGCACCCGAAATGTTGGGAATTAAAAATAAGTTAAAATAAGTTAATTAAACGAGACAAAATCCGTATATATAGTTTTATTCAAAATTGAAAAGTTGAAAATTCTAACTTAGCTAAATGTTAACTTCAACAAGTCTCTACTCCGGTGAGACCTTTTTTTTTTTGAGCAACAACAAACTCACAAGTAATTGTAACTGTTCGGTTACAATTACTTTATCTGTTACCAGGGCGGCGACACTTAGAAATCAGGTGAAATATTTGACAAGTCGGAGAAGTGTAATATATTAATGTTTCTTTCTGAAATATTAGTTATAGTTTATAGAAATGGATAAATCAAACTAAGGATAATCCTAAAAGTAGAAGAATTTTAAAAATTTAAAAATGTATAAAAAAGGTAAAGAATACACCACTAATGTATTGTTTTGTGTATAAACCATAGATTTAGTATAAACTGGCGTTAGGATAGATTGGCAATGTAAAAGAAAAGGAGCATAGTGTACACGTATGTTAGAGCGAGAAAGATAGGCTAGACCATTCACGTACACATTATCGGCCAGTATCGGCCTGGCGTCGTTCGTGAAAAAAACAAATCCCGCTTGTATTTGAAAAATTGGCTTGGTTTTAAAATGAGAGTTAGTGCTTAATAGGTAATTAGGTGCATAGTACCTAAATATAACTCGCCTCAGAAAGAAATCCCACATTATTATACATTTAACCAGTAGGTGCGATTGAAATGCTTAGCAGTCTAAATGCTGTATTTTAGATCAGGTACAAACAATTTGTACTTAAATGGATAGGAAAAAATTATATCACATTTTATAATAATCATCCAAATTTAAAATAATTACAAATACGTGAAATTTGGTTAATTCAAAAATTCATGCATTCTGTTAATTTTTAATCTCACTTTTATAGAGATCGATATTATTGATAATATCTTGTCGAATTGTCATTAACAGGCAAAGGTGCGACTTGCATGCAGCCTTATTCAACTTGGTAATATTTTTTTTAAGTGTTAGGGTTCCGTAGCAAGGGAATGTAGCATCGCCCAAATTTCGACGGAATTAAAGGTTTTCTCATAGTCCACAAACGCCAGGTACAGTGGCAGATTGTACTCTTCGGTCTTCCGTACAATTTGCCGAAGGGTATATATGTGGCCTATTAAAGTCCAATGCTGAACATAGGCCTCCTCCATAGATTGCCTCGTAGGAGTGTATTTGCAGTAGTTGCCACGGTTGGCAAGCGGGTTGGCAACGGCAGTTTATTTTTATTTTTAGAAGACGTTGCGCCCAACTCCTGATCTTTTCCCCTCTGTCGCCTCTTACGACACGCACGTGATGATATGCGGTAGTGATATTCTTACACCGCCACTGCATGGGGGGCACCTCTATGAGCAAACCATTTTTGTTCAAAGTACTTGCTGCATATAATCGCATACTTTCTCTTGGGAATCCATTCTCCTCTATTCATTATTTTTAACCATTTTTGTTGAACACCAATATTTTGTGAAAATCTGTCACAGCATTTACTTAACATCACGTGGACTGTGTGCTCGTTTGTCACCTCTTTCCTATAAAAAAAATGTTGACCCTATTATAATATCCTCCAGACCGAATTTCGGTCACGGCGGCCTGCCTCCACGGAGACTAGCCATCGGCGCAGCGCAGGATTAAAGTGCCCAAGTGTATGCGCAAGCACAGGTGCACTCTCTCACATTATTTTATAATAATAACTATAATCCTGTCCTGCGCCGATGGCTAGACTACGTTTAAACTAGCTACCGTGTGCGAATTTTTATTACATAATATTGTGAATTAATAATTACCTCTTCCTTACAGAATCGTCGAGGAAAACCGCAGCGAAATTCTCGCAATGGTACTCCAAAACGCGCGCAGGATTCCGAAAAATCCGGACGCGACCGGAAACATGACTGACAAAGTGCTGCCCGACGAGCAGAGCCGGATGTGCAACATATGCGGCCAGGTGTTCCAGCATTTCTACTATCTAGAGGAGCACCTAAAGAGCCATGGCTCGAAGATCGCCCTAGAAGACGAAGGGAAGACGGAAGAGAAGAAGCACGTGTGCCAGGTCTGCAACAAGAGTTTCAAATTGCATTATTACTTGAAACTGCACAGTTTCACTCACACGAAGGAGAAACCATACATATGTCAGCAGTGTGGGAAAGGTTTCATTACCCGGGGCAAGTTGAAGAGGCATCTGGAAACGCATACGGGCTTGAAGAAATACCAATGTCATATATGCTATAAGTTCTTTACCAGACCGAGTTACCTCAGGATCCATGTACGGACCATACATGGCCCCCAAGATTTCAGGTTGAACAAGCAGTTCGAGGTTGACAGTTTAAAGGAGTCCGGTTAGCGGAAAGGGGTTTTAGGTGTTAAGTTTGCTTTATTCCTCTGCAGTGAAGGCATCCACGACTTTTCTGCCATCAAGGCGGCGTCTCTTTGAAGTGGGGTAAAATATTTGACAGATCTCATAGCAGGGCAGTTAATTTTTTTAGAAAAGTGTTAAAATTATTCTTTCTGGTATATTAGTTATATCTTGTGATCGTTACATTAGAAATTGTTGAAACAAATTTATATTTAAAAAATTAAATTAATAAATTATGGGTGCAGCACGAATGGGTCGGGTCGACCGGGGAAGAACCACGCTCTCACAAATACCGGCGTAAAATAGCAGCTTAATACTGCTGTGTTTCGTATAGTGACTGCAGAGATCCGGAGAATCTTTTTACCGAAAACGAGGCATTCCATCTTAGTCCTCACGGGTGACAACGCATGCGTTTTGATTCGTAATCGAGGATAGATGTAGATGTCTATTTATCACAGCATCCACTTACCATCAGGTGAACTGTGTACTCGTTTTTCACATTTATTCCATAATATGTATACTACTAGCATAGCACTATATGCCACGCAGTTGTATTTTCATTTACGCCAATTACTGTTTATAGGCAATTACGAAACAAAGTTACATACTCATCTGAAATATAACTTCAAAACACTTTGGACAAAGTGCGCACTTAAATAATTACAGCATTTTCTTAGTTACGTTAAACAAAATCAGTGTTTGACTGTAGAAAACAAAGTCCGCGGTTTACAACACAAATAACTACTCTCCTTGACCGCTTGCAGTCGACTAAAGCAGTTATTGAGAATTGACCTTAACTTGTTGCGCAATAGACATGTGTCAATCGTAAATAATTCGTTCATTTGACCCGGTTCGCATCAAAGTCAAAGTATTGATTTTTTTTATAGAAGTGGGGGCAAACGAGCATGCGGCTCACCTGATGTTTAGTGACTACCGCCGCCCATGATCAACTGCAACACCAGGGGAATTGAAGGTGCGTTGCCGGCCCTTTAGAAAGGAGTAAGGTCTTTTCTTGAAGGTCCCTAAGTCGTATCGGTCCGGAAAAGTCGCCGGTGGTATTCCACAGAGAAGTTGTACGAGGAAGAAAACTCCAAGTAAAACGCAAAGTAGTGGACCGCCAAGCATCCAGATGGTGAGGATGGTATCGGGAATTTAGACGCGATGTGCGTTCGTGAAATTTGGCGGCTGGATCTAAATCGAACAATTCCTCCTACACTCCCCATGGTAGATTCGATAGAAAACGTAAAGGGATGAAACATTCCTATGCATCGCTAGTTAATCGAGCCGATCGGAAAGAACTCGGTCGTCCACGATTCGAATCGTTCTGCGGTGGATGCGGCACTGGGATGATTGATGATTGCAATTACATTTTTTGAACATTCCGAATCATACGATTACCAGTACCTACTACTAAAGAGTATAGTAATGTCCGACGACCAACATTATCGAGATCTCTCAGATCACAGAGTGCTGTAACTTGACATTATCCATTTGAATGACCCGACCCGAATGACCCGATTCATAAGACGCATCAATACTTGAATAATCGGGTCACTAGAAATGAATCAATGATACATGTCTAATGCGTAATGTATCAGTACCATAGTACCCGTCTAGGAGTATATTATAGAAATCTAGCGTTGGATCATTGCTTTGAGATAAAGCTTAAAACTGTGGTGCTTTCGTGTAATTCCCGTTGCGGGCACCAATCAGTCTAATACATTTTGGCTGTGTTCCGAAATAGAACCCAGTTTCAAAACATTGGCCAGTATATGACATCATACATTTGCGCTATATTGGAAATAGATGGCGATTATTTTATGTCATTTTGTGCTCCAAAAGTTATTATATCCTGTTTAAATTAATTTGTGAAGAATGGAGATTGGTGGATTGAATTGAATGGAGACCAGCAATTATGTTAATGAGCCGTGTTTTATTGAAATTTATTTTGATTCATCCGATAGTGATACTGATGACGATGATTTAGTGCTTGGCTGTTTAAAAATTGTTTTAATATGGCGGGATATCCGATACAATATGGCGGCGGCACGCCATTACAATATGGCGTCAATTAATGACGTCATTTGCATTCGCCAGTATACTGGGTTCTATTTCTGAGCATAGACTTTATACACTGATTGAACCACGTGCTCAGCAGTGAATGAACACGTCGTAAGAAAACTTTAATGGCTAAAAATCTTATATTTCGAAATTACGTGAAGCCCATCAATTTTCACTAATGTATATCTGGACTCGTTCTGAAATTTGTCGAGAAAGCAAGTTCTACCAAGCTGTGGTATCTTTTTAGTATGCAACATCGCATATATAGGGTTATTTTTCAATAACCGGCCAAATTTGCAGAAAAGGTTCAGAATAAGTAATATAGGCAATTGGTGAAAATAATTAATTAAAAAAATTTCAAACATTCTGTCCTTTTTATCTTTTAAATTCATAATGCTTAGTATCAACTGATTTTACTGCGAACACACACATTCATAAGGGTCGATCGGTAGCTAAAAACGGTGTTGCCCATAAATCACTTTCAATTTGGGAAAAATTTCAAATAAAAGTAGAAGTCTTATTTACTCGTAATTTCAAAAACTGCAATAACGGCATTTCATTATATATATAAATATATAAATAAATAACCCTGTTGGGCTATTTTACAGTATATTAAAATTCAATCTTAAACTTTTTGATTTCGATTCATTGCACTTCATAAATTCATCACAGCCTATCAAAACTTCATTGCAAAATACAGGCCACCCTCTTTGTTTGCGTCATTTGCCATAGTTGCCATGCTTGGCAGGAGGCAATTTTTTATTATTATCGAGTTATTACGAACGTGTTGCTACACCCTTTGAAAACTGAGAGGGGGTCTGTGTCCTGCTGTGGGACGTATATAGGCTGTAATTTTACCTTTGTTTCTTATGTATTTAAATTTTACTCAGTTGATAAATTGTTTTGTCGGTAGATAGCGTTGTCTAGGGATGTCGATTCTTTCCGAAAAAGATCGATTTTTAAATCAATTTGAATCGAAATCTGATGAATCGGTTCACAAAAAAATCGAGGTCTAAAAAGAAATCGATCTTTTTTCGGTTTGCTTTCAGACTCCGTACAAAGCACAGATTGCAAACGTAACTTATTTTTCTTTCTTTAATCCATTAAAGTAGAGGTGAAAGAAACTGAGCAAACAACAATTTAACTATTTTTTGGGTAGAAAAACTATTCTTAGGAAAACATAAAAATATACAGACACTGGATAGATTCAGTACTATATATCGATTAAAAAATCAATCTTTTTGGCACAAGAAATCGATTCTTAGATTAATCGATCTCAGATCGACATGCCTAGCGTTGTCTTTTAGTCATATTTGTATATCTATACGGGTAGTATGGCAATGTGGATGTCTCGCAAGGTATATTTTCACAGACTATGCACACGCGCATAAGGGCAAAGGTAACTTAGGAATGCAATTTAGGTACTTATTGCACTGGTTTAAAGTCTGTCGTAGAATAAAATATCACGCGGTTGATAAATTAAACAAGCTTTATGGGTGTCTAATGGGGTTTTCACAGCTTTTTCTACCACCGGGGCGGCGCCATTTTGAAATGAGCTGAAATATTGGACAGATATAATGACGAAGAAGTTAAATTAATTAATGTATAGTTAAAAAAAACTATACATTAATTTAAGTATTATAGGTTTCTATTTTTTAGTTATATTTGAACTACTAATAAACTACAATTATTCCGACGAATATTCCTCAATGTAAAAGATTTTTAAAAAAAGGTGCAAAAAATTAAGAGCCCACCACACAGGCATTGTTTTGTTATTTAAACGTGTAACTTCAATGATGGATGATGATACTATGTAAAAAGTAACTTCACTTCTTAATTTTTAACTTGATAGAGTCACGCTGCAGCTATTGTAGTTGTAGTTCGAATGGGTCGGCTCGTCCGGGGCAAGACCACGCTCTCACAGAACACCAGCGTAAAATAGTAGCTTAATGCTGCTGTACGTTCGTATGGTGAGTGTAGAGAACCGGAGACCCTTTTTACCTGGAATGAGGCATTCCATCTTAGTCCATCATGACAACGCATCTGCATTTTTATTCTTAATCAAGGATAAATGTACATGTCTATGGGCCACAGCTTCCACTTACCATTAGGTGAACTGTGTGATCGTTTGTCACACTTATTCTATTTAAGAAAACCTCAGTCCTAGCTATTGAAATCTGGAGATTGAGAGACTGGCCCTCATTTGTTGATGAGAGCCAGAGTCGAATCTCACGACACACACAGATGTTTTAAGTTTTTTTTTTTAATGGCCTCTACACAGCGACACTATATCATTTTCTTTTTGGGTATTTTATGTATAAAAACTTTTTCTTGCCAGTCTAAAATTTACAATCAATTTTTTCTAATTTAAGGATAAAAATGGACATATTTTTCTTTTCTTTTTATAGTAACTTCTTACGAACCTCTTTTTAACGATGTAAAATTAAATTAGGCAGAATGTGATTTATGTCTTTTGTATAAAAAAGTGTATCTTTTATATTTTTATTATTAATTGTCAAATTGTGTTGGATCAATGTAAATAAATTTTGTTTTAGGTTTACGTTCTTAAATTTGAAAGTGATATGAATATTATTGTAATTAAATATTAATGAAGTTATCGGAATCCGTTAAGGTGTGGTTATGTATTAGCAATATTTTTTAATAATGTGAATTTTAGGTTATTTGGTGTTGTATATTTCTCTTGGAGGTTGTTGATTTTGTATAAAAATTATTAAATACACTAAGTTTTGTATGTTGGTTTTATTTTGGGTTTCCATTTCCTACTACGGCATTATTCATCATTATTACAGCACTTCAAATGTCCACAACTGAACACAGTCTTCATGGGTACGATGCTGGCTCGCGAGAACGTTTCGTCTCCGGCGGTTGACGGTTCCTCGAGCAATATGACCGGGCCATTGTTACTA